ATATAATGTAAAACATACAATAAGACTAAACATAGATAAGTATAGGTACCTAAGGCTAGCAATATATACAAACTAAAAAGACTAAAAACCACAATTTTGAAATGATGGTAACTGCATATGCTTTTCATGAAAAGAAAGAAAATGACCAGCCTGTACAAGAGCAGGGCCTCTTTTGTCTTCTTGACTGAAGAGAAAACCTTGCAATTCCCCTGCAGTGCATCAGCCCAGACTCCTCGTTTTTTTAGTGTGAGCATCCATTTATTAATAAACCTGATGGTCATAACTGAGTCTGCTGTACCAAGTGCACAGCTGTTAGGCCTGGGTTAGGAAGTGTGCTCTGGGACCCTAGCAACCCTCAGCACATGCTCATCAAAGATCTTACTCCATTCATGCAGAGACTTTCTCAAGTACGCCAAAAGCAAGCAAGTGAAAGAAAGGCTCTTCTGGCACTTGGGATGGTCAATGTTACTATCACTCATCTCAATGGCTTGACGTGAAAAGTTCTACCTGGTCAAGCAAACAACTGTTCACGATAATTATGATATATTCTGAATCCTGGATGGACCCAACAAGGACCAATGATACATCTATTACTCTAATTGAGGTGCACTTACAACAAACAAGAGCTTTATTGCTGACTACAATGTAAATATCTTGGCAGTTGCCAATCATTGCTTGGTGGCAGTCACATTAAAACTCAAAGCTCCAAAGCCTTGGCCTTCTTATATTTTCACCAGAAGCTACAAAAACCACAATCCTGAGTCATTCCTGAGGAATTTGGAGTGTGTCCCTTTTTACATTGTTAACATTTTCAACAATTTTGATGATCAGGTTGATGTAATCAATAAGTTATTCCTCGACACACTGAATGAACATGCACAAATTAAATGCATACAGATCAAGTAATGGCCGCAACCATTTATCACACCTGAGATCAAACAACTGATGAAAACCCATGACAGCTGGCGTAAAAAGGCCCATAAATCAAACGACAAACTCCACTGGAACGCTTTTCGATTTTTTAGACAGGAAGTTAAGCAAGAGATAAGATTGGCCGAAAAGGAATATGTTTGCTCTGAACTATTTAAGTGCAAGGGAAACACAAACTACATCTGGCAAATTATAAATCATTGCCTTCCTAACAGAGAGCCATCGCTGACTGCTGTAGAAGATCCTGTGGTTCAAGCAAACAGATTTAACGATTTCTACGTCTCGGTAGGGGAGGTTGCAGCTGCTAAAGCCAAGGCTCTATGCAAACAGTATGGCTTCTCGGAAGAGTCAGTCAGGCAATTGGAGCCAGTCACTGTCAACAACAACAGTCCTGTTAAGGACTATGTTCACTCAGATGATAATACTCAGCCTACTTATGAAATGACTCCTAGGTTCAAACCTTTCACTGTATAACTCATCTATTCCTAACACATGTCAATATTTTCGCTCCAATGAAATTTTATTATTGTGTATTTTCTATTATTGTATGTATGTATGCAAAATGCCTCATGTAAAACATTTTAAAAGAACTATAATTAAACTGGAAGTTCTAAACTTCATAGGCAAGTTACTGCAGAGTTTGCTTGCCGTAAACGAAATCAGTACGTGTTCAAAGTTTTGTAGCTATTTATAAAGATGATCATTTTAATTTATGCCACTTTTACTACTACTACTACTGATAACAGTGCGAGAATTGCCAGTATTGCTATTACTTTTTTTCTCTCTGATTTATTCATGCATCCATGCCCTTACTTTCAAGACATGATGACACTGTAAGCTAATTATTTAAATTTAAGATTCACATTTACTTAACAAGCCATGTAACATCTCCTAAAATGAGAAATGGAACAAATCAACAACATAAAAAATACGACAATTCAAGGAACTAACCACCACCCACCCCTTCCCTCCTCTGTCTCTTTCAATTTCTACTTCTTACATTATACTGAACAAGCTTGAAAGGCAGGTGGTTTATATACACACGCTAGCTATATATATTCGATACAGTCAAATTAATTCATTTATAGCCTTTTTCAGGCTAAAATAATAAGAGCAAAGGCTAAATATTACAAACATGCTCCAATTGAATGAAATGAAGGCCTAGGATGCAGCAAGGTCAGCTGAGGATCAAAGCCATAAGTACGGTATACTCATCTGAACAAATACCTTGTAAGTACTGTAATTCTTGGTGATCCAGAGAAAATATATCTTGGCAAATAGGAACTACACAACTTAGAAGTAAAGAAAGGGTACATTTTATCACCATTACTGATAATACAGTTTTTTACCGGTCGCNCTGTAAGCTAATTATTTAAATTTAAGATTCACATTTACTTAACAAGCCATGTAACATCTCCTAAAATGAGAAATGGAACAAATCAACAACATAAAAAATACGACAATTCAAGGAACTAACCACCACCCACCCCTTCCCTCCTCTGTCTCTTTCAATTTCTACTTCTTACATTATACTGAACAAGCTTGAAAGGCAGGTGGTTTATATACACACGCTAGCTATATATATTCGATACAGTCAAATTAATTCATTTATAGCCTTTTTCAGGCTAAAATAATAAGAGCAAAGGCTAAATATTACAAACATGCTCCAATTGAATGAAATGAAGGCCTAGGATGCAGCAAGGTCAGCTGAGGATCAAAGCCATAAGTACGGTATACTCATCTGAACAAATACCTTGTAAGTACTGTAATTCTTGGTGATCCAGAGAAAATATATCTTGGCAAATAGGAACTACACAACTTAGAAGTAAAGAAAGGGTACATTTTATCACCATTACTGATAATACAGTTTTTTACCGGTCGCGAGAGTGATGTGTTTATCCGCCATCTTTGCTTTTCCGCCCCAGGCTACTAAGAGCTTGAAGACGGGAGTGCAGTGAGCACAGGCATACCAACTCGCAAAAGATTCCTGAAACGGCTTTAACACCAATATTAAGAGATTCAATGCAAAAAAGCTAGGTGATCATCAATCCTTCGTAGATTTTAGCGCATCCTCGACATGGGCTTAAAAGATGTTTGCGATTACATAAAAGGTTTTTTCTGAGTTTCTGGCTGAAATTTCAACCAGATAAAATGGGCCGGGTTCCCTGGAGGGAGGAGGGGGGTACTTTAGGAATTTCTGGGTGAGGATGTGCCGCTGGGACCCTGGAACCCTTAACCTATACCAGAGCTAGTTCAACTGAATTTTGCTCTACCCTATACTAGAGTAAACTCCCCAAATTCCCCCTATCCTAGAGTAGCTGTACGTTTTCCAGAAACTACTGAGGTTACTAGCACAGTAGTCTAGCCAAAACAAAACCTTGTACCACAATCTCTATTCTAGATAATGTTCAAGCAACTGATCAGTTTCCTGAAAAATGATACCCTATTCTAGACCCAAACGCTCTGATATATATACCCTATCCTACAGTAAACTGCTTTAATTGAAAACCATACCCTTCACAGTGGCACATACCTATAAAGCCCATATATGGCAGTAACTCCCCCCCCCCCTCTCCCGGGGGCCGGTTTAAAAAACCTTATGTAATCGAATTCAGATATCAGCCTTCGTGTTTTTAAAATAAGAAAATTGAATGGTTAAGCTCCAAAATTGAAATCTTAAGTGGATAAACCGCAGTTGACGCTAAAAATAACTTAACCAAATAAACAGCACTTTTGAGCAGTATTGCACGACTTTGAGCCGACTTTAAAACAAAACTAGATAAACTAATTTTATAGTGTTGTGTAAATAATTTATGACCAGGGTTGCTCGAATAGGTCGTATTGATTGCCTCGCTGCTGGACTTCAAGAAAAGTTGAATAAGTTTAATAGTCATAATAAGATATATTGCAAACTTTGAACAAATAAGGCTTTGTAAATTGTAAAAACGTTGCGCCAAATAAGGCTTTTGCGTTTATCTATTTTCGTATCTTTTTTAATACTGTACTTTAATTAAGATTCTAGCAAGCGCAAGCATACTTTGAGATGAACAACAAGAACTGAATGCGTTTACAATACTGAACAATGTGGATAAGCCTACCCCGCAGGTTCCAGAGGTCCGTTCTCCGGCGAAATAACTAGGATGAAATAAACCGTGCTCAAGGTTTGATAAAGCTGCGGAAGGGGACAAATTAGATAAGAAAAAAACCCTCTGGGCCTTGGAGTGTGTGAATCCCTTTCCTTCGGGCATAAATGGATGGTCTAATCTGTTCTCATTTAATTGCGCTTGTGTGTGTTACTTTGATCAGTTAGCTAGTTTATAATTGCAAATTTGATTTCAAGTTGGAAATTACTAAATTTAACCCATTTTATTACTTTTGACAGCGAACAGTCCGTAATTACAGCCTAATTTTCAGCCCTAAAGGGCCCAGGGCGGCCCTATTTAAACTTGGTAAAAATTGACGTCGTATTGGACATTTTCTTCAGCAATCAAATGGTGGCCTGATGCGTACTTCTACAATTTAGGAGTTTACACTATCGACTATTATTTTGATTATCTAGATTACACGCTTAATCTATAATCGTTAGTTAAAAATTGATCTTGCAGTCTTTGCCGTTAACATAAAAAACTCCTTTTGTAAATGAAAAGTTCAGGAGAAGAAAGGAATAGCTAAGAATACATATAAAAGTGACCTTTTCTGGAACTTTCGTCTATCCGGAGAACAGACTGGGGGTATTTGATAACCCGTTGCTAAACTACTTATGCAAAAATCTAAAAAGAACTGACGTCATTTACCATTAATTGACTTGCCTTTATTTCAGGGTGGTTTAAATCAATTTTGGTAGAAGGAAAAAATAAGTAATGTAGTGTTCGTAATGCGTAGTCCGTCCACCCAAGATATAATCAGTAACAAACACCTTTAGAAATATATACCAAATTATATTTGCCCAAATTATTATATATAAATGAATTCCTACTTTGGAAAGTTTGTTCTAGGCTCTCTATAGTTTAAGCGCAACCAGTAACCAGAAGGTCCGGTCGTGTTGCGTGGGAAGCGTGAATAATTAAAGATCGGGTAATTTGCAGCGAGTAGAACTAAAACTCGAAAATTCACTAATTTGCATTTCCGTTTAAAAGGTTACTAGCGGGAATCCACGCGCTATTTTCACCAACCACTATCAACAAAACTTGAATAACAATATAAGAAATACAAATAATTAACCTTAAGTTATTAATCCACGTTCGAATTAGTAAAAAGGATCTTTATAATTGGCTGCAAAAGAAATACAAATATTTTTGTTTAAGTCGTTAGGCTTTAATATCGGTAAAGCAATTGGGGACACTGCAAAACACCTGCAGCAGCTGCTGTCACTGAAGATGACTTCAAGATGAGTGGCACCCAGGCCGGATGAGTCTTTCTTGTGAAACATCTAACGAGTGCGGCGCTCGGACCTGCGTGAAGGTTTGTTGAACTGATTAAAATCGCACGCTATGAACTGGGTACTCACCGACTTCGATCACGTCTTTTTATCACACCTTTATTTTTATAGCTTCTGATGTTGTAATACGTGAAACACGTAAACAAGGCTTGACTTATATCCAAGTTATTTATACATTATCAGATTGTAATCGAAATTCTGATCGAAAGGACTACTTGTTTACGCAATGTTAAGGCAAGAAGGAAAACAACCAACTTTGCCAAAAGTGGCATGTACCCCGAGATCAAGATCAAAGAAGAGGATAACACGTGAAGGAAAAAACGCGAAGAAAGTTACTACATCAACAGAAACGAAAAAGGAAAACAAGCACAGGCTTAAACATTCAACTGGTGACGATATGCAAAGAATCGATTCTGGTATTTCTGGTTTAACTGTGAAAAGATCTTTAAAAAGAAGGCAAATCGAAAGCTCGTCGCAAGATGCGGACCTGATTGACATCAGCCACGACTTTGAGATGCTGCAATTGCGTTGCGACGACATCAATGAAGACTCTCACAGCATGGTTGCAATAACTTCTCGGCCTTCGTCATGTGCAACATTGAACCTTGACGAAGAACATTTTAATCGCAATTTCGAAGATGATTCTGATAATGAAAACGTGAGGGGAAGTGAAAGCGGAAAACAAAGAATTCCAGCAGCCGAATATGACCAGAAAAGATATTCTGCCAATTTAGGTTTAGATAACAGTGAGTCTCCAAGGCTACAAGATATTAAACTTGAACAAACCGACAAAGGTTCAAATAAATCTGAAAATCACAATATAACCTCGCCAAATACCGAGAAACAGATTGATCTGGGGAGAGAATCCGGACCTGAAAGAAAAACAAAATCAAAAGTTAAAACTGCTTGGGAGCTGAGCGATAAATTCCTTCTTACTACCGACTTTCCAGCTGATGTTTGGGATGAGAAAAAACCAAGAAAAATGTCGCTTGGCTCTAGAAGATTATCATCTGATATGCTCAGTGAGAGTTTTCCCCCCTTATCGTTAACAGGTTTTGAACCAAGAAGAGGATCATTCCCGAGTTCCTCGTTATATTATTCGTTTTCATCGCCTAAAATGCCGTCAGAACTTCCATCACTCTCAGGAAGACAATGTAAAGTTCAACTTCCTCCCAGTTTTCCTTGTGTTACACCTCAAACACATGAAAGCGAACCAGAGTCATCAACTGACAACCTTGACATCATAGGCTGGGAACAAGGGCAAATTAAAACACAAAATGATCGAAAACTGCACAACAACTATTTGGATGTGCCCATCGCGAAACAGGCACGAAGACAATCTGAATCCTCTTCTTCAAGGGCATCGCCCAACTCAAGTCCGGGATCTCATTCCCTTATGGCATCCTCAGAATATCTAGCAATGAACGCTGCCTCCGCTGAATACCTTGCTGCCCGAGTTGTCACTCAACTGAACCGCGCTTTTAAAGAAACTATTGATGAAAGTCAAGTAGAGATCGCGACTAGGGAAAATTGTGTCACACCAAATTTAATGCCTCGCAGACACAGCGCCGTATTTTTTCGGCCACCCACCAGTAACTACTTCGATGAAAAAGCAAAATCACTCAACGTGCCCTCAATCCACGAGTATAGCAAAAGTTTACCGAATTTGTATAGTCGAGGCAAGACTAAACGAATGTTTGTGACTTTTGATAAAGATTTTCCCAATGTAAAAATTGTTGACTTAAAGGGGAAGTCTGATTTAGCGCACAAATGCCGTCGTATAAACCGCAGATTAGCCAATGAAGACTTGATGGTGAAGGCTATGCTCGAAGAGAAAGTTCACAAAAAGTCATTGATAAAGAAATGGGTTGTTTCTTCCGCGGAAGGAAGTGATCTATAACTGACAGTTCTAGTTTGCAACACAGGGG